GGGTAGTGGCGTAGGATTTGCATATAAACGAGCCTCTCACGTTCGGAAACCATTATTTCACATGGGAAAGAGTTGAGCAGTCTTCTTTGCGAACTTGGTGTTTTTCATGCCGCCTGGCCTTGCCCTCTCACCTTTCCTACTGGTGGTACATACCCGCCCCCATGTGCCACACAGTGTATATCAGGGGTCGGAACAAACAAAAATAGCAAAAATAGTTCCTGTGGGGATCGAACCCACGACCTTCTCCGCAGTATTGAAATCCCTCAAAGGGGATTTGTAAAGGAGACGTGATGAACCACTCTGCTAATTGTTAGTGGGAAGCAATGTGAAGCGCAATCGAGCAAGACTTACACACTAAGGAACTGTCAATCTGTGCGACGAATCAGAACATTTTTCTTGCCCATGAAAGATATGAAGCAACAGTAAAACGGGCCCACTTTTTCGCCCCAGCTTCCCCAGTAGTTCCCCAACCTAGACCTGTGCGTCTCTTCTCCCAATTCCAACTTCCGAGACGCCTTTGGAGAAGACATGCCGAGGAAGATACACATCGAGGACCCAATGGGAGGCCTCATCGATGGCGACGATGTTCTCGGGGAGAACACCTCGGATAATCAACGTTCATCCCGTTCAGGTAATGACTCTACAATTCTGCGTTGAGGCGACAGCATTACTAATACTCGTCAACGCCATTAGAAAACTCATAGGATAGACCTTCGGGACGAGTATAAGCGCAGAAGAGCGCAGCACAGCACAGTCAGGCGAGGTATTGATACTACATTCTCCCTGTGATACGTGCCCAGGAGTCCGGCGCGTGTAAGCGAGCGAGCGAGCGAGCGAGCGACCGAGCAGCAAGCAAGAAGTTCCTTCTCGGCGACGCAGCCAGTCAGCCATGGAGTACGATACTTCGACCATGAAGGCCGACCCTGTGGCAGATGGAGCCAAGCAGGAAAAGAACAATGTCCAGGCAAATCGAGGGCATATACGAGCTCAATCCAAGCCGGTGGATGTGTCCGTCCTCAACGAGCCCGTCACGTTTGCATTTTCGGGCCGGACGGCCAAGAACAGGTTCCTCAAAGCACCCATGACGGAACGGTTGTGCTATTGGAACAAAGAGGGTGAAGACATTGTATGAGCGAGCCCGTCACATCCATTCGGTTCATCCCATCTCTGCTTTTCGTCTTTTCACCCCCCGCTCTTGCTCTCGCTTACTCGCTTGCTCGTTCCTTTGCGCATACGGTATGAAAGCCACTACTGACACGTAAGGCATAAAGTCCGCCCGCGGCATCCCCTCTCCAGAGTACCTCCACCTCTACCGCCGGTGGGGCGAGGGAAACATCGGCATTATCGTCTCCGGGAACACGATGGTCCGCTACGATGCCGTCGAAGCATACGGCAACCCTATCATCGTGGACGACCACGACGGTCGCATCGCCAAGTTCAAGGAAGTCACCTCCGTGGCGAAAGCCCACGGGTCGTTGATCGTCGCGCAGCTTTCCCACCCGGGCAGACAGGGGACGAAGTATTTGAACCCCAATCCGGTCAGTGCGAGTGACGTGCACTTGTCGATTAAATGGGCGGGGAACGAGTTTGCGAAGCCCCGGCCCATGACGGTGCCGGAGATCAAGGAGATGGTGAAAACCTGGGGCGAGAGCGCCTATTTGTGCTGGAAGGCCGGCTTCGATGGCGTCCAAGGTGAGTACAAGCACAGTCTCCTACGCCTTATGTCTTCTGTCTTGTTTCTGTTGGACCTCGCCTTTCAAGAAGCGACGGCATTGATGATCCCCGTTTACTTTAGTCCATTGCGCGCACGGCTATCTCCTCGCTCAGTTCCTCAGTCCCACCACGAACCGGCGCACGGACGAGTATGGAGGCGACTTGAACAACCGGTCACGTATCGTGTTTGAAATCATCGACGAGATCCACCGGCGTGTCCCCGACCCGGGCTTCATCATCTGCGTGAAGCTGAATAGCGTCGAGTTCCAGGATAAGGGAACCACGCCGGAAGATGCACGGGACTTATGCATCAAGCTCGAAGAGGCGAGGGTCGATTTTGTGGACCTGAGTGGAGGAACGTTCGAGGGGAGGGCCTTCGAACACAAGAAACAGAGCACGATTGCACGGGAGGCCTATTTCATTGAGTTTGCCGAGATGATTCGTCCGCTTCTGAAGAAGACGAAAGTCTACGTGACGGGTGGTTTTCGCACGGCTGCGGGCATGGTCAAGGCCATTGAGGATGGCGCTTGTGATGGCATAGGTATTGGTAGGCCCTTGGCCGCGGAACCTTACCTAGTCAAGGAGATCCTGGAGGGAAAGGTCACGGGCGCGATTGAGAACTATGTGCCGCTGCCGCTGAACACGCAGAGTAGTGGTACACAGTTACATCAAATTGGGCATGGGGACGAGTTGGTCAGTGATTGGTCTGTGGAGGCTGAGGTGAAGAGGTGGATTGAGGCCCACGAAAAGGAAACGGAGAGAAAGCTCAGCATCCTGCCCAGGGTGGATAGTTCAGGGTATGCCCCATTGAAGGCTGAAGCCGGGTTTGCCTATTTGGCGGCTTGAGATGGACGACAGCGGCTGGGCTTGTCAAGATTTCGTATGTTGCTGCGAGAGTCAGTGTTGCTAGAGGGCCTCGTCCAAATGGCAGAGCAGACAAATGTAGATAAACACTCGATCTGAGCCATGGTCTGAACCTTGATTGATCTTGATTGTTCACGCGTGCCGGTATGGCTTGTGTGGACCTGGCACCAGCCCTAATATGCTGGCAACATATCGTTCATCTGATCTGTGCTTTGTGACGCTGGAAATAGTCCTTCTGTCCTTCTGCAGATCCTGATCGTACGCCGTATGCTTGTGCTTTTCTCAGTTGCCCCTAAGGTGGCATTTGTTCCTGATGCAACAACAGCATGCTCGCATTGTATCACAGCTCCTGGAACATCCGACCCTTCACGCTTAAAACTTTTGGAACGACTTGACAGCCTTGCCAGTTCTGGGCAGCACACGAAGAACGTTGAATCGAACCTAAAATTTCCACAATATCAGCCCCTCAATTCATCGTCAATTCTCACAAATCTGAATTCATCTTACCGTCTTGCTCAAGGGTCTGCATTGGCCCACGGTGACGGTGTCACCCTCCTCAACACGGAAAGCCGGGGAAACGTGCGCAGCAAGGTTCTTGTGTCTCTTCTCGTATCTGGCGTACTTGGGGACGAAGTGGAGATATTCTCGGCGGATGATCAAGGTTCGGTGCATCTTGGTGGAAACGACGGTGCCGGTGAGGATACGGCCTCGGATGGAAACCATGCCAGTGAAAGGGCATTTCTTGTCTGTGGACAGGAAATTGTCAGATCCAGCTCACGCACATATCAACCGCTCAGTGTTCTCGATCCTGGAGACCGCACCCAGCGCAATGCTGGAGGGATAATAACACTGACCAATGTATGACCCTTCAATCGCCGTCTTTGGTGTTCTGAAGCCCAAGCCGACGTCCTTGTACCATCTTCGACCGCCCTTGCCGACTTTCCTGCTCTTTGCGGCCTTTGACTTGGCGTTGAGGAAGATGTGAGGTTGCTTTTGGTAGGCGCGTTCGGACTGGACTGTCAACTCGGTCGCCATGATTGCGGGTTGTTGACAGAAAGGAAGCGACGTTCACAATGAAGGTGTCTTGGGTGTTGGAGCAATGTGATCGGCTTTCCCACTGTGGGCTGAGAAAATTGAATCTTGGCAGTGCTGCGGACCGGATAGGCAAGTGCGACGAAAAATTCCATCACGTGGTTTGGTGTTTATCCTTCTGCTCTTTCTGGTTTAGCTTCTCTCTCCCGTGTTATGTAATTCTAGTGGGACGCGCGAAGTGAACCTTCTTGGAACAAACAACATCCCCAAGCAATGCACCTCTTTTAGACGGACCTAACTTTGAATGAACTTGCTAGGGGTCGAATCGCATTGCGATGGCCGACTCTAGCACAAGCCCGCGGGCAAGCAGACCCAAGTCCCGACAATCCATTGCCCTTATACCATCAACCAGGGGATCCACTTCACGGGACAATGCGACAACTGATATTGCTGCGCTCAGAGCCCAAGATATCGAAGCTAAAGCTGTAAAGAGGAAGCAGCGTGGCAAAAGCCTGGGCCCGGGGGGCCTCGAAGCCCTGAAAGAATCATCTGGGAACACAACCAAGGTAATAGCAGCCTGTTGTCGTTGAAGGCTGCTTATTGACTTTCGGCAGACGATAACACCCTTTCAAATCAAGTCGATCTTGAAGCCTACAGTACCCTTGACACCTCCCAAAGCCATTCCTACCTTTGACGAGCTGCGGAAACGCAGCACAGGGAAGGGAAAATCACCAACAAAAAATACTGCTGAAGAGCTTTTGATTGATTTCTCCACGCCCGGTCCTAGCAAACAAGATGGCAAAGACGTGTCGTTGTCCGGCGCCGAGACTGTCGCAGATCCATTTAGCCCGATAGCGCGACCATCGCCGCGAAAGAGCAATGCGACCGAACAGAGCGCGGAGGCCATCGAGCTGGAACGAGAGGAGGAACGCCGACGTCAGGCAGAAAAGGAAGCCATCCTTGAACGACGAGCTGCGAGGAGGAAATCAATGGCGAACCGTAGGGTGTCATTCGCGCCCGAAGCTACTCTGCATACCTGGAGTGTCATGGAACTCGCGGAAGATTCGACAACAAGTTCCGCCTCGAATTCCACAAGAAGACAGTCTTCCATGACAGCGCAACAATCCCCTGTCAAGTCGCTTCAGTCACCTGAACGAGTGCAGACTCCTGCGACCCCAACTACACAGACCGACGAGGACGTGATCAAGGAGTCACCAGCTAACCAACGAGATCTGCACCAAAAGAAGCGCCGGCGCAGAAGTTCTGGTCTTGCCGAACCAGTGATGGATTCCACTGACGAGTCGGTTTACTCCTCGAGTCCTTCAGGGGACATTGCGAGCAACAGCAGCCCAATGCGGGTTGAGGAAGGCATTGAGTCATCAGACGAGTCGGACACTGATGGTGATACTGCCATGAGTATGGACGAAGCGACTGTGCATTCGACGAATTCTGAGGAATCGGCGTCGAGCTCTCACTCTAGTTTGGAGGATCGACTTCGCCAAGCAGCAGATCAGGCTGGCACTCGTGGGATTGACCATGATGAATATGGCGACGATCTTCCAATGGAAATGGCCACTGGCACTGTCACGAATGCTTTCCAGCCTTGGGCGCTGAATCGGGCAACAGAGATTGACAACCGTGCAAGATATGAGCAGGAAAATGCCTACCCAATCTTACCTTCCCTACCAGTGGAGGAAGGTGG